CAAAGAAACCAGAGCAGACAATACTGTGCTTATAGTGATATTTCCTTTGCTATTTTTGGTTCCCTTGAGTCCATCTCTAGTTTAATGTCAGCATGAATGGGAATTGAATTGGACCAGCAGTTGATGTAACAAAAAAAGTGCTGGCAACTGATAATGGTGTTATGAGTTTATGGTGATTGGAGGGGCACCAGCAAAAATATCCAAGGGATAACCTGGCTGGGAAGCTAGAACATAGGAATCAGAGAAATGAGAAGAGAATCATGTGTTACCAGATAAGACTTTATGTTTTCCTTATGGGTTAATATCTGAATGAAAACCACCACTTTTCCTTTATGTGATGTCTACTTTCCTTTAGGAATTACAGCAAGAAGACAGTTTGATAGAATGAAGTACGCTTCTGTTTGGGTTTTCCACCTGTTCATACAGTTTTCTGGTAACTAACTGTAGTATCTAATTAAAGCTGCTGCCTTCCTGGTGCACCTCTAGAGAAATGCTGCCATCCAGGTAATTAATGTGCTGTGCCTGCACTGGCTCAGATGCCTATATTTGCAGCAGGCTACTTTAGAACATGCTGAATTATCTTTGACCTTGGAGACATCTGGTGCTGGCTTCTCAATCAAACAGAACTTGGGACAAGACAGGCGTCAGACCTGACTCTGGCTTGGTGATTTCCACTTTTCTAGCATTAGCATTTTCAGTTATATGAGGTGCTGATAACACATTGAATCACATGTGAGGAAGGTGATTGTTTCTTTCAGGTAAAATCAATTTATTGGTGCTATGTGACTTGGCCTGTTCAGTCTGGAAAAGGGAGACTGAGGGGAAACCTCATTGCAGTCTACAACTTTCTTGTGATGGGAAAAGCAGGGGTGAAACACTGATCTCTTCTCTGTGGTGACCATGATAGGACTGAGGGAATGGCCTGAAGCTGTATCAGGGAGATTTAGGCTGGATATTAGGAAAAAGGGTCTTCACCCAGAGAGGGGTTTAGCACTGGAACAGGCTCCCCAGGGAAGTGGTCACAGCACCAAGCTTGACAGAGTTCAAGAAGCCTTTAGACAATGTTCTCAGGAACATGGTGTGACTCTTGAGGATGTTCCTGTACAGGCTAAGAGAAGGACTCAATGAGGTCCCTTCCAACTCAGCATATTCTGTAATTCTGTGGGAAACATCTTGAAGAATAATCAACAATGATTTTGCCAGGCACCCTTAGGTCAACCTCATCTGACCTACTGGCTGTCTCTGAGTAGAAACATGCTGCCAGATGGCTTCCTTGGCACTCAAGATACTGCTTTTGAGAGCAAAGCTTTGCTAAAGGTTCCAGGTGCAACAGACAGAGTTTCTGTGCCCTTTAGGACTGAATTTCTAGCCCGAAATGTTACCATTGTTTATGAAGGCTGTGATGGCTCTGTAACTTCACCATTGACTGCAAGTGAAGGAAAGGTAAAGGTCTGGCAGGTTCTGCTTGTAACAGAGGTGGTATAAAGCTGTAAGAACCTTCTGTCTGGTGGTTAGAGTCATGTCAAGATTGGTATAGCTGAGCTGAAATCCACCAGATGAGAGACATACATCAATCTTCCTGACATTTATGTATATGTACATCTGTGTGTGTAGGTGTGTACATACATCCAAGTACTCCAATAGAATAAATAGATGTCATATATGTCTATGTCAGTTAAAACTTTTTTGATCAGTTCTATTTGCATCTCTTGGCAATGGCTGCATGGCAGTGGACGTCCAATAGCCCAGCCCATAATAAGCACCCAGAACTATATCTATCAAAACAGTCCACAAACAGAAACATTTGCAATGGGACTGCTGCATAATAATGAGTATTAATTTTAAATTAATAAACTGAATGATTCCACTGGGAAATTAACTCTGATATGAGTTGCATCTTGATTGTATGAAGGCTTTAATACATGTGCTTAACTTCCAGTTGAGTAAACATCATGGGAACACCATGCGTGCTCTGGAGTGCTAAATTACAACACTTATGAGCACGATAAGAAAAAGATAATGGTTTGCTAAATCTCAGGCTCACCTATAAGAAGAGACGAAGTCTTCTTCACCTTTTTTTTTAAATTGAGCATATTTTTGAGTTCTCAGAAAGGTAGTTCTACACAGGTAGTTACAGCATGGTCAGTAAAGACAGCAATGGTCCACAGAGGGAGCTGGGTGGGAATAGAAATGCAAACGTTGTGATGCAAGAGCCTAGGAAACTGATCTGAACTCCCAGTTGCCTCTAAAGCAATCCACATAGTAAACTGTTCTGTAAGGAATCAAACCACTGTATGTGTGTAAAGAGGTCACAGTTTCTCACAGTTAATGAATGTATTTATCCAATGAAGACCATTTTCAGATTATCTGCAATTGGCAGAAGGGCCTGTGGTAACACAGGGAGCCTGTGTGAGTCAGTAATTCAAAACAAGTAAATTCTGATCAATTTTACTCGACAACCTTTTTCAATTGTCCATAATCGTTCTTTTCATAGTGATAAAATAGATATACTTGATCACTTGTAACTAAACCAATAAGTTAGCCTGCAAGGCGAGATGAAGTAAAGAAGATTTTAGTAGTACTTAATTGATTTTTGCTCTAGATGCTCATGTGAAGTAAACAGTGTCATTAAATAAAGATTTGTTTTAAATGTGATCAGTGGGCAATCTGTTTGCTACTATCCTTTCTTCAGACAGAAAAGGCTTCAGGGGAGAACTTACTGTGATACTAATAGTAGTGAAGAGACTAAAAAAAAGCCCCAACCAGCTGTTGCAGACAATGTGGTTTAAATAGCAGTTGCCTTAGAGATACAATGCCCATTCTCTACCATATTTAATTCTGGTTTCCACCTAAGTCCCATTCTTTTTCAGAATGAAGAATTTCTTGTGTCAACATTTGTACTCTGTTTTTTTCTTACTGTGCCTCTTACCCAACGATTTAGAATTTAACAGCTGCCTAGTTTGAATACTACAGCTGAAATTTTAAGGTTTACTTCTGCTGTGGCAACTGATCCCTCTTGCCTTTACCTCTCTATTTCTAGCTGCATGATTTTGCTAAAGGACAAGCTGTTACTTTGTTTAACAGCAGAACATAATGCCTGCCTTTGATAAACATAAGGCAAAAAAAGAATGCTTGCAAAACCTAGGAGTTGCAAATATCTCAGCTCTTCTTTGTAAAGTTTTCAGAAACAGAGCCATAAACGTACAAGGTTGTTTATCATATTGGATTATCTGTTTCTCCTAACATAATTAAATACACTAAGTATATCTAGATTTGTATCAGCATAATAAAATGCAACATTTCATACTCATAGTCACTTGCATGCTGGAAAAACAAAAGCCTTCTTTAAATCTGGAAGATAATACTTGCATAAGGAGTGCGAGATGCACTTTAATTCTAATTTGGGGTCTAAGTTTAGTGCTCAGGGTAGTAGAGAATGACTGACAGTTTTCAATGAGTCAATTTACATACTAAGATACGTAAATTGGGCCAGTTAACATGTGCAAAGAATATGATTTCAATTAAATGTTATTTACTGTCTGGAAATGTATCTATTGTCCTCTCCCCAAAATAGGAAGAAAATAGAAATACCACATCTAGCTGATACACTACTAACTATGAATGTGCTGCATAGGATGAATGAGGTGAGGTACCTTATGTAATTTAATTTCTGGGGGGGTTTTTAGGCTTTCTTGAGAGCAGAATTATGAGAAAATCATTTATTTGTAAATGCATATGTATTACCAGTCTGAACATTCTTACACAAAGAAGTAAAATCTGTTGCCTAATGCTTGGTTGATTAAAACTACTAGTACAATGAAGCAGAAGAAAGTTTACCAAACAATACAGAAATATTACAAAGAAACCTCACAAGAGGAAGATCCTGCACTACATGTCCAGCATGAGAACAAAACCAGGGATGCATCAGCTGTCTGCAAGGGATGATGGATGCAAGATGTTCCTTGCAGCTCACAACCTTGTATCTCATCTATGCCATGTTCTGTTTCTCCTTTTGGAGTGCAATAAACCCCAAGCTGTTTCTGTAAGTCTTGCAGGATTTGAATTGATGTACTCAAGCTGAAGGTCCATCTGTTCTAGTGCCTTGTCTCCTACTGGTCTTGGCTTTTCATGCTTAAATTCTGTGACCAAAATAGAGAAGTTTGATAGGTTTCCCTTTCTGGGGAGAAAGTGACTTCTCTTCCCGAGTTTAAGATTCAGGTGGCAGTGGCCATGGATTGTGTGGTGGAGGATGCCAGCAGCGGTATAAGGGTTGGGCAAGTCTGGCCCTACTGCTCTTCATTTGGGATGAAAATTCTTCTGTGTGTGCAATAGAATTAAGACTCGTATTACACCTGCAAGAGCACCACCTCCCGTGCTTAAAATTAGCTGGGATCATGAATCTTCGGAGAACAATGATACTGAACTGCAGGGTTGAAGATTGGGAAGTAGATGAAAAAGAATTAGAAGGTGGGGGAGATTCTCTAAGGCTATGGTGAAGTGACTCAGGGCTGTGCCGCATCAAGAGCTTCCGAACACTTCTAAGATGAGGTGCTCCAGCCTTTGGAGGGAGTGGTGACTGTGCGGAGTCCCAGGGGGACCAAGTCGCCTGGCACACCTTCTACCCTCGCTTCTCCCTTGGTCTGCGTCCAACAAACAGGTGCTCCGAGTTAATCACGCCTCCCACCTCCCCGCCACGAAGGACGCGATAGGGTGGGCGCAGGGGGCCGGGCGGGGGGCGCATTCTCAACCGGGAGCAGAGCCTGCGCTCCTCCTTCCCGCGGCGCATCCTCCCGCCCCCCGCCCTCGCCTCTCGCCGGCACTCGCCGCCTGCGGGACTGCCGCCGGGGTGGTGCCAGCAGCGCCGGCCGGGATGTGCTGAGCAGGGGCCGCTCCGCGCCTCGGCCGCCGCCCGCCGCAGCCCGCGCCGCCGCCGCTCGGAACGGGTCGCTCGCCGGTGGCGGAGGAGCCCGGCGGTGAGTGCGGGCAGGGCGGGGCGGGGCGCGCGTGTGTCTGCATAGAATTATAGGTGTGTGTCTCTAACAGCAAAGGCAGCTAGATAGCGATATCCTGTTGAACGTTCCCGTGTGGGCGCGGGCAGGGAGGAGAAGCCGGGCGCCGTGTCCGCCGTGTGGCGGCGGCGTGCCCGCGGAGCCCCTGGGTGCCCATATGGTCGCGCCGCTCTGCTTGCCTCGGTAGGTGCCTCGCTGTGTGCATGCATTTATATGTTTGTGTATGTATACCTACATATGAGCCCACATATTCATGGGCGCGACGCCCTGCTCCCTCCCTCCTCCCTCTGCAGGAGCCCGTGTGGGATTCGATCCACACCCGCGGTCCCCAGGTGCCCCCGCACCTGGTCGCGGGGCTGGCCCGGGGACGAGCCTTGGGACCCAGCCGGTGGAGGAGCCGGAGGGTCCCGCGGGCCGGTCCTGCCTCCCCGGGGATGTGTGTGTAAGGCACGGACCCCCCGGCCACCCCCGGGGCGGCAGGAACCGTGGGCAGCTGGGCTGGAGCACAAACGCTGCCGTTCTTCGCACGCCCGTCACGAGTTAGTGGAAAGCTGCGACAGCCCAGATGCCTTCCTAGACATCCATTCCTCCTACTCAGCCTCTGGCAAAGACGAGAAGATAACAGGCAGCACTTCTGTCTGTGTGGGTGGAGGAAGAGAAAGGAGTACTGATAATGGATTTGTTGAAGGGATGCTGATTCTGGGTTTTAATTACTGTTCCGGTGGTTTCAGTGTTGCACTGGATTGTATTGCTGCCAGAGGACTCTCTTGGTAGCTTTAGTGCAGTGCTTTTTAAATCCTGTGTTCTTGCTTTTGCTTTTTAGTAAAATATTTTCTCAGTTGTGATACGTGCAAGGAACCCATTCAGGAAAACTCGGTTTCCAAAACGATGTGGACTGTGTGTAAAATGCTGGACTAATGGAACTGCAGAATTTTTTATTTCCTCCAATCCTGAGTTTAATGGCATTTTCTTACAAATGAATGTTTGTAATTTATGGGAGGTTTTGGTTTATGTTTTTTGGTTTTCAGTTTGGTCCGTTTGTTTGGTTTTTTAAGTTGATGTTGTTTATTTAAGTTGCCTTTTTTCTCTGGATAAGAGGTGGAGTATCATCAAATCACAGGACTAAATCTTGCATTCAGCACATAAACAGAGCTGTCCTTTGGGAGAAATGATGCCTTGATAGGCAAGGAAGGTACTTATATCAATGGAACCATCTTCCAATCAGAACTGCATTAATGGCAACCTCTCCATGGGATTCTGTGAAAATAGGATATCTGTTTCATATAGCTACACAATTTGGGCGTAAAAAATAATAGCATTTTAAAGTAACTGTGATCCCATTCAGTTAGAATATTTTTTTCTCCTTTCTGGGATAAAAAGCTGAAAAAACCTTACTGAAAGCGTGTACTGTGTTGTTTTTTGTTTTTTTTTCCTAGGGCTCTGTGAAGAGACTCTTCAGCCATGGATGTGTTCATGAAAGGGCTTTCCAAGGCAAAGGAGGGAGTCGTAGCAGCAGCAGAAAAAACCAAGCAGGGTGTGGCAGAGGCAGCAGGAAAGACGAAAGAGGGAGTCCTCTATGTGGGTAGGTGGGCAGCAGAGAGCACTCTGCTGATTGGTGCACCCCAACATGCACAGCTGGATCCTCATCAGACCCATTCTTCTGCAACAAAATATGTAATTGCTCACAGGAGACCATTGCAAAAGAAACAAGAGGAAATTTGTGCCTTCCTGAGCTCAGGTTCTTTGAAGCCAAGTGCCTTACAGTGCAGGTCATTGGATGGCACTCCATGCAAGAAGTTTGCCAGATCAAGGCCAAAGGGGTGTTTGGTACAGTAAAAATAAATATGAAAAAATGTAAAAGCTGGAGGTGAAGGTAGCTTCACGACATTCTACAGAGTATGGGGGCTTGAACAGCATTTCAGGAGAAGACGCTTGAGAGGTTAGCTCAGGAGTGGAGTAGTAAACATGCCAACTGCTTGGTATGTTGATAGTAACATCTTGTATGGAAAAGTGTGATCTTCTGAAATTAATTTCATGTTCTGTAATTACTATTGCAAATTGATGTCAAATATTTTCCACGACATCTCAAGGAAGAGCCTGTACAGTTAATGAGATAGGGCAGGTAGATCCCAAGGTAGCAAAGCAGTTGTTAGTGTCTCATTCCAGGCCAAACAAGTCTTGCATAGAGCCTGGGATAAAATTATTTTCAAATCCCTGAGTGGTACTTTCATGCAGGATAGTCATCTTCATTTAGCAAGCATTGGGCTTTAGAAGAGTGTCTTGCAAATGCTGTCATGAAAAATTCACAGAAAAACAATCTGCCAAGACTATGAGTAAGTGGTTATTTATAAAAAAATGATTATGGATCTGTTTCTCTTATTCATCAAATAAAGCTAGTCTATAAAAGAATGGTAGGGGAAAAGATAGCCTTTTCTGTAGGTCATTTCTGTTCGTTTTGTAGCAGGTCAGTTCTGTAATGAGCGCTGTGTGTACGGAGGGAGATGTGCTCACATAACAGAAGTTAAACAGAGCTGAAAACCAGAGGCATTTCTTTTCAATGGGAGTACTGAGGTCTCTGGTATTCCAGTGCCTTTTTTGGATTCCCTCTTGCAGGCTACTGCCAGTCTGTAAGAAATTATTTCTGCTCCAAATAGTGTGGACTACTCATTTGGAATATACTTCCCTCCCTTTTAAGCCATAGCAAAGCTCAGTGCTCTTGCCAACAGGGATGGCAGTCATTTTGAGCACTAATTGTAGGATGAATCTATTTTAAAATGAGCATCTGCTCATTTTCAAGACAGAAAAATAGATGTTCTTCCACTGTATATTGTGCTTGATGTTGGAGTTATTTTCCGGAGGAAGGACTTTCTTTTATTTTGTTTTCTTGTAGTCCTGGCCATGCTTCTGGGGTCATTGATTTCTTTGTATTGGAAACCTGCATTGTGTGCTAAATTAATCTTGGTTTCTGACCTGTTCTCCAGACCATAATAACATTTGAACCTAGTTCTGTTCCCAAAGGCAACAGATTTCCTGTTGTCTTCAGAGACGCTTTTGCTGAGGTTGAACTTTGGAGGGCAGGTTTGCTATTTTTTGCAAGAATTTTAAGAAATAACTGGGGACTGCAGAATCTTGAGCTGTGGTAAGGACCTGTGTGTAGTAATGTGACTGTAATAATGGTGGAGGATCCTTCTCCAACCCGGTGCCTCCTTTTCAGGAGGCACGGGCTGTGTGCACAGTTTGTTGTGCAGGCAAAAGAGCCTTTGGTTGGAAGCTGTCTCCAGAAGCCCTGGCAGCTTGTGTCCAGCTGTGTGCTTGTCCGTACAGGCAGGATGTTTCAACAAGTTGAGATAGGGAAAGTAGGAGCTGGGTGTTTCTCTGTCTGCTTCCCAAGCACACAGTAGAGGTGTATCTTCCCCTGTGCAGCATTAGCTGAGGCCAGCATGATAATCTTTTGTTCTGCAGGCTGATAATGCCTGCAGTGCAAAACGTGGTGAAGCCCCTTTATGAGCAGAGGAGAGGAGCAGCAAAATTCATTAGAGCTCATGGAGATTTCTCACTCCCTTTTGGTTTTTCAGATTTGAGATTCACAGCCAGATTTTATACTGTGAAAGCTGCCTGACATCTTGCAAAAACAGAACGAAACAACACTGGGCTGAGTGGGACCTGTTAATCATTTTCAGTTTCATAACATTCAGCCTCCAATTGCTAGTGGAGATTAACAAGATGCAGAGTCTTTGGTCCAGATTACCAAGGTGATGTGGCTTCCCACTGAAATCAGTGCAATTTAAGTAAATGTGGAAAGCATCTGGACCTTTCTGTCCAAGCTGCTCTTAACTATTATGTGAAAGACTATAACCTAATTCTGCCTGGGAAGAGTTGTATTAACAACAGCTGCTGTTTGGGATGAAATGTGGTCATTGTAATTCTTTTATTCTTGTTTTGGTTTTAGCTTTTTTTTTTTTTTTGAGCAAGGAAAATTTCACTTAGCAAAGGGCGAAACATAGAGCTATGTAGGAGAGCAGTGTATTGGAGGATTGAGGTTTGGTTTTTCTCCCCTGTCCATGCTAAAGTCTCTGCTTCTCTCAGTCCACTGTCTGGCCTCCTTTTAAGTATTCAAGTATTTAAGTATTCAATACAGTCTACAATGTTTTTTTATGCTTTCAAGTATTGGGGGTTCTTTGCCCCTTAAATTTCTCTGCCAATGGGCTTCAGCATTGGCCAACTAAAATTGGTGGTTCTCTCAAGCTATTCAAGCACAGCATCAGGACCTTTCTTGATGTCCCAAAATGGCCTGGTCATTGTTTAGAAAGAAGGACTGAGGCTCAGCAATCCTGTGTGTGCTGTAGATCTAAAACTGCATCTTTCTGTAGCCTTCAAGAGCTTTTAGTGTGAAGCAGAGAGGAAGTGAGCGGCAGTACTTAATCCCCACTCACTTTGAAGCCAGGAACTGAGTAAGAAGGATATGTTCACACACTCTTGGCAATGCAGTCTTCATGATGTCTGCTGAGCTTCTGTGTGCTTCCAGGGAGCTCCGGTTTTTGCGCAGTTGACTCTTGAGTGCATGTTTGGTGCTCAAGAATGGAAGTTTCGAGTCTGGTTGTTTTTGGTGTGTCATAAGCTCACAGCTCATCAGCCACTCTGCTGTTTATTAGCAGCAGAGTGGCTGATGGTTGTTTACTACTCCCTTTGCTAGCACGTGGGTTTTGGTGTGTCATAAGCTCACAGAACAAGGGAATAGTTTATTAGCAGCAGAGTGGCTGATGGTTGTTTACTACTCCCTTTGCTGGCACGTGGACTTGGAGTAGAGCAGAGCAGTCATGACCTATTTGGCAAAGCCATCCAAATTGCTCCACTCCTTTTTCATCATGTTTCTTATTTTCCTTTAGTGGTAGAAAAGCCAGCAGAGTCATTGAGGGATTTGTGGTTGGTCTGGTGGAATAATGGCTTCAGGACTTGGAAGCAAGTGTTTTCCTTAAACATCGATTGCCCCTTCCTCTAATTTGCATTTGTCTCCCAGTCTGTAACCAGCACTGACTAAGAAATGTCTTAGTAGTAGTCTGTTGGTCTCTCAAATAGTCCAGAAATGGGTATGTTCGCAAACTGTTGATGCATTCCTTCATTCTGGCACAGTGGCAGCCATGATAATAAATTGTGAAGCAACTCTATGGTATTTTTTATAATTGGAAAAAAACCAAAAAGTGAGTTTAGTGTTCTCCCTCCCCTCACACAGATGTCTGCTATAGCTAGGAAAAGTAGCATTACCACGTACTGCTGTGGTTCTTGGTTTAGGTTAGAGTCATGTTCCTTGGTCTTGATATGGAAGCTACTCTGATTATTCTGTTCCCCGTGTTATGAAGGCTACAACGAGCCAGGCTATTGCTAAATTGGGAATGCCAGGGTGAAAGACAGCTAGTTTATCCTGGAACCAGCGCGGTCAACCAGCTTTCCTTCATGGCTAGCCAGAAGTCGTCCTACCGAATTTAGCTGTTGTTATTTATAGGCCTGTTCTGGCAGATCCTAATGTGCTTCTAGATGCTGTTGTAGCTGCCATGGCAGGAACAGCTGCTTGCATGCAAGTGTGCAGCAGTGGGGCAAGTGCTCTTGAGCTCTAACATATGCTGTGGGGTCTGGAACACCAACCAGCTGGTTGTTTGCCAATTAATGGATCTGGCTATACATACTCCTGTTCCATATGGGTCTGTGAGCTGAGCTTTTTTAAAGAAAAGTCTGTCTTCCACTAAAGAGACCAGCATTTCTGTGTGAGTTGTGGTTATACCAACGTTGTCTGGGCAAGTAAAGTACGAATTGACTTGGAATAGGTCCCTCTGGAGATGTGTGCATTGCAGGTCCTCAGGGAGCTCTGTCATACCATCCATCCCTTTCTGGCTTTAGGGAACTGGGTACTTGCTAATTCACAGGTTTCCATGTCTTTAATGGCTCGGCTTGCAGACAGTCTGTTCAAAAACATGCACAAGATATTGACCAGGTCTAACAGTGCCTTTAAAAGCATGTGCTCAATATTAAGTATTCCAACAGACACACTGTAAGCCTGCAGGGGTGTTTAGTTGCTGGAAGTCAGTAGAACCATAATCTGCTTGAATTCCAGGATGTGCTTTGCTTCTTCAGGTCTCATGGTGCTACAAAACTGAGAGCCAAAACAAGTCCTTAGGTGTGAACAGTTTGTGTATACAGAAACTTTTGATTGTTCAATGGTAAATATTTTTCAGTGAGAGAAAGCAGACCTTTTTTGAAGATCAAATTGGAATAAAGAGGTGAAAAAGACTTCAGCTGTTTAACCTCATCACTAGCTAAAGGAACATTTTGTTTTACTTCATGCAGTATTTTTTTCCGTTGTCTTTATGACAGATTATTATTCTACTTTTGCCCATGGGTAAGAGAGCCTTTTCAATCTTGTAATCAATCTAATAGTGCCAAAACTACCTGGCTAAAGTTGCATAAATTTGCACTAGTAGCAAGTGGGACATATTGATGAATGAGCTTATATTGTGTTTTTGTGTTTAATTGTATTATTACAAAGAATTTTAGACAAAAAGTTGCTTTTTTTTTCCTAATATTTTCCTGCTCATGCATTTTCTTCTGTTAGAAATGTAAAGTCAGAAGTATAAATTATAATGTCTCAAATACTGAACGACAGCAAAAAAATTGCATTACAAATAAGGTCATTTCTGTGTTGTAAGAAAAATAAAATGTCATCCTATCTCTGGCAGACTAGGTAAGATGATTAACTGGGAGCCATAAACTCTGTTAATTGCACATTGTTAAGCATCATAGTCCACAGATGGATACTAATCTCTGAAATGTAGCCAAATTATGGAACCTGACAAGGGCAACTAGAGGGCTGGTAAGGAAAAAGACATCCAGTTATGATTTAAACAGCAGTATGTGCTAATTAGTTTAAAGAACAGTTGTTCTGTACTGCTGGCTTTGCCTCTTCCCTTATACTGAATGTCTTAATAACCTTGGAAAATATTGTGTGCAATGGTATGCAGTTTACATGTTAATCCCTCTTTATCATCTCTCTAGTCTTTACCAGTACTTAAGAATATGCATCTTCAACCTAGTATTTTTCTTTGTTTAGGTTCCAGGACCAAGGAGGGAGTTGTTCATGGTGTTACAACAGGTGAGATAATTACCTCTTGATTTCAGCTTCTTTGCTTCGTGAGATTAACCAGCCATTTAGCTGTTAAAAAGTGAGTTTTTTTGAGAGCACTATAATTTATGAAAGATGGAAAAACATAGGAAAATTGAGATATCTGATTGGGTGGAAAGACTGAATGGAAATGGCTTAAAGGAAAGAAACAAATTTCAGAGTTTTGATTTGAATTTGTCACAGTTATGAGTGTTTTGATTTTTTTTTTTTTTTAAACTAATATCTCAGTAGAAAGAGCACTTTCAGACTTGGAATTTAATGCCAGGCATGTATCTTCACAATAGCATTTCTACAGCAAGAAAGAGTAAATTTACATTTTAAATTGATTTTCAGGGATCATTTTAGGTATGAACTGTAACCAGTAACCAATAATTTGTTTTAAGGAGCAGAATGAATGGATGTCTTTGATATCTACAGAGTGCAGAAAAGCCTTAGTTGACCATAGGGCATTGAATAAAATGTATAATTTTCTGCTGTAGAACGTGGGAGTTCTGAATATGAGAAGAGACTGTATGGTCAATAAATTTGTTTTTCCCCTAACAAATTCAGAAAGAAATAAGATAGTAGAAAAGGATTTCTTTTTCCTCATTGTACAGCCAGTCTCTCATTCAGCTCACGTGTCAGTGTATCATTGTGCTCACAAGGCAAAGGATAAACAGTGGTAAGTAAACAAATGTCAGCACTTAATACACAACCCACATAAATGGTTGAAAAGTCAGTCAAGAGTATTTGCAGTAACAAAACAGAACAGAATATCCAGGATAGCCCTTCAGAGCTTAGGCTGAGTGTCGCCCTGATTTTGTAAGACTTTGTTAAGCCTTCTGATGTTTACATTCTTTCAACAAACTTTCTCACACACAGTTCTGTAAATAACCTACGTTTTGCATTCTTTCATGGAGGTGGAGAGAATTGATGGACCCTTGGTCTGTCCAGTGGCATTGGAGAGGTGGCACTGTCACCCTCCAATCCACTGTCACCTTTGGAAAACTATAAATGTTGGAGTCAGAAAATAAAGTTCTTCTTTTTTGTTCCCCTTGAGAGCAGCAGTGTCTGTGTCATCATTTCGTATCTTATCACAACAGCTGAGCATGTGTGCTGTTGTTACGAGATTTGAAATCTCAACTCATTAGACCTCAATTAAGAGAAATATTCAGAGGGATCATTGCTATGACCAGTAGAGGATTGCAGTAGAATGAGATTTGGGACTTGTATATCCAATATCATCACAGATGTGGGAGCAGCAACTGCCAGCACTAGGAAGCAAGTTAATAGAGGTGACATTCACCAAGCTGGGATCTGCTGGAATCTAAGTCAAGGGCATTTGCACACGTATGAAATACGCTGAAGCACTGGGATTCTAGTGCACTACCTCAGTGGGGGACTTCCCTTCTTCATAGTGAAAGAAACTACTGATCTCAAATGCTGTGCCTCTCTTTATGTGATTGCAATATATTTAATTAGGCAGGAAATTTTCAGTGGGTGAATAGAATTTTTAATTGGTTTTAAAATACCTTAAATTTTCTTCTGGAAGGTACAAAACAGGCTGTAAAGCCAAACATAAGGGAGGCACACCTGTTATGTGCTGTGCCTGTGAATAGAAAATTTGGACAAATTACTGCTGATTTTAGGCAAAACAGTAGCTGCTCCTCCTAGGAAACAGGTGATACAAAGTGAAACACCCAAAACTTGGGAATAACTGGTTCTGTGCTGCCGTTTGCCACCTTCTGTCCTTTCAAGCTGTTTGAGATGTTTGGCTGTTGCATGAAAATGGAAAATGAACAGGGGGTGAACAGGTTGATCTGTGACAGTGAGAAGACTTCAGGCAAAATCTAGAGGTCATGGCTTCCAAAATGAAACAGTATGGACAACTTGCTAGTGTAAGAACAGAGCAAGCATTTTAAGAATAAAAAAATAATAGCAAGCCTATAAATACTTCTTCTGACAAGAAGAGAAGGTAGATAAAAACAGACATGCGTTTGCTGTAGTGATTCTGTGAGGTGTAACATTAAGACAGAGATGCTAGTGAAGTTGATGTAGAAATCAAATCCATTTAAATCAATGCTGTTAAAGTTGATGTGACAAAAATGCCTTTTAAGTTGCTTGTAAAGACCTACTTGTCTCTTTTAATATGGCTGGGGGTTCACAAGCTGTGCTGGTCTTATGATATTAACTCCCTAGTGCATCATGTCAAACCTGAGGTGACATAAACACTTTGTTATGTAAATAAAAATGGCTTGAGAGGTTGGAGACAGATACAAACTAGAATCACAGATCAAAATGAGTGTTCACAGTTTTGCAGTCAGTCTTTTCTTAATGCCTGAATTCCAAAATCTTGATAGCTTTGCTGTCTGAAAAAGTTGTGGTTTAGGCCCTATGCTGGTGAAATGACACACCCTGAAGAGCTAAAAACCTAATTGCATTCTTCAGTCAGTTAATTTCCAAACCCAGGATTACTAGACTGAGGTGTTTCTTGCTTTAAATGTGACCTGATTGTACCAGGTTTATTGACATCAAGACAGTGAAATGAGGATTCCAGGCTGTGTTTCATTGGAATATGGTAAGTGTGTTATTTTTCAGGTCACCTTTTCTCTGAACTGCTGATAAAAGCAGCTTTGCTTATTGGTTTTATGGGGTCTATGCCCTGTGTTTAGACTCCGAATTGAAATATCTCCTGGCCTTTGATTGTAAATGCATAATTCACCCATCTCATTTACCTCCCAGAAATGAACAGTATCAAAGGTGAAATATTTGCAGTCCATCTGCAGATATTCTAAATAAAGCAGTATTTGTAAATAAGTCAAAGAAAAAAGCTTAGCTCTTCAATCATGTGAGTGAAGACACAATATTGATAGTAGTAAACCATAGTCGAGTGTTTTGCTTAATTCTTTATTTATTCCAGATCATTCTTGTTCTTCTTTATGTTCTTAGTCATTGGTTTTCCTGCTTTTTAACTCCTCAGGTATCCTACAGAAAATTCCATAAATTAAAGAACCACCATATTTATGGCATCTTTGTAAATGAATTCTTCAAGCACTTATGACAAACTTACTGTTTGAAATACATACTCAAAAGTATATTTGGTACAATAAGAGTAAGTTCATAAATTCAGGGAAATTCTGAGGTTTGAATCTACTTTTATTGTTCAAGGTTAAAAGTAACTAGTTATAATTCTGAATTGCTCTAGAGGCTCTACAGTGATACTGTATGCCTGTACTAAGTAGCGCAAAGACCACCTCAATGCTAATACTTTTTGCACAGTGCTATTGTCAGTATTAGAAATTAAACTCACCCTTGGTGTGGTCATTGTACACTGTCCCAGGGTCATTTAATGGAACGGACAGTCTCTGCATAGATAAAAGAAGTAAGCAGGCCATAGCACAGCAAAGCTCTGCAGAAGCTGATTTCCTCTGGTTGTCAGCACTGTGATGCAAAGCAAATATCAACTTTACAAAGACTTAATGGTTTAAGGTCATTAAGCAACCTGGTATTCAGATAAATTTACTAAGCTGGGATCAATGCCCTGCATTCTGAACTGATTTGTTTGTGAACACTTAATGCTTTCCCCATTACTACTTAGTGTAAGCAATAAAATAAATGAGACTGGAAACTTAGTTTGGTAAGTTTTTCTTCTAGTTTAAGTTCTCCTGTTGTGGGGTTTTCAGAGCTCTAGGGTCACCAGGCTGGATCTCATTATCAGAGTCACTCTGGTAATGATGTTGATGTCTAGTTATTCCTTAGAGACAGGAAAGAAGATTCTCTCCCTACTATGATTGCTTTTGCCAAACTGTGCTATTTATATAGTTTGCTCAGTTTATCTTCATGGCTCTGACTTCTGAAGCAGTGTGTGAGAGATCTTCCATGGTAGCTCCTGTGTCAGCTTTCTTGTGCTGTGTCTGTGTGCTGCTTTTGGCTGGCATGGAGGTAATTTTCTTCATAGTACCTGGGATGGGGCTGTCTGGGATTTGTTCTGGAGCCCATGTTGATAATATAGGGATGTTGTAGTTACTGCTGGGCAGGGCTTGCACATGGAAGCATCTCCTGCTTCTCACCTCACCCCACCAGTGAGAATGCTGCGGGTTCACAAGGAATGGGGGGAAGACACGGCCAGGACAGCTGACCCCAGATGCCCAGAAGGATATTCCACACCATATGGCTTCATACTGAGCAGTATAACTGTTGGGGAAGGTTGGTGAGGGTCATCTGCTTGGGGACTGGCTGGGCATTAGTTGGTTGGTGGTGAACAATTGTTTGAATTTGCATTATCTGTGGGATTTATATATTTTTCTTTGTTTTCCTTTTTATTATATTTTTTATTACTATTATGATTGTATTTCAATTGAACCATACTTATCCCTTGAGTTTTTCTTACTTTTACCCTTCCAATACTCTTCTTCCCCATCCTGCTGGAGGAAGAAGGGAATGAGCAGCTGTGTGGTGCTTAGTTTCTAGCTGGGGTTAAACCATGGCTGTCTGAAATAGAAGCAGTCTTAAATACACTGCTTTTGTTACTACTTTTATCAGTATCTCATTGTGCCAGTAACAGTGTTAGTGGCCTGATTCTTTCCTTTTCATCTGAATTTGTATCTTCTAGGCCTTTCCTAGGATAATGTGTTGCTCGGAGGAGGAAATGTACTTGAGACAGTGCCTTCCCAAAATCCTGTAGTAGTGGGAACAGCAGCCATAGGATAGTTGCTGTTGGTAGGTGGTTGTACCTGCTGTGACAACATAGTGTAAGAAATGTGGGAGTAATCATGGCATTGAGAGTCGGGTGGTTTATGCTGCAGCATCCCCAGTGCACTCAGTTCCACTCTGTTTCTTGGTGCTTTGAGGTGAAGGTGCTTTAAGACCTTGAGATGATGAAACTAATGAATGTCACACCTGTGACAGTCAACACAGTGCAACCATGCTTTAGCATTTTATCAGAAAGGATGAGTCTGCTCAAGGCTGACTGACCCCTTGTCAGCATCAAGCCTACTGAATTTGTACTCTCCCAAATTTGCCCTGAACCAGGCCAGTACTTTACATCTTCTGCCGTTCAGTGTTTTTTTTTTTGGAAAGGGAAGTTTTCAAAATAATGTGTGGCACTTCCATTAAAAAAAAAAAAAAAAAAAAAAAAAAAAAAAAAAAAAAAAAAAAAAAAAAAAAAAAAAAAAAGGGAAATGAAAGGACCCTGAATTATAGAATCAAACCCAGTGGTTTGGTTTGGAAAAGACCTTAAAGATTATCTGATTCTAACCTCTTTACATGGGCAGAAATGCCTTCTGCTAAACCAGGTTGCTCATGGCCTCCTGGCCTTGAGCACTTCCAGGGATGGGACATTCACCGCTTCTTCTGGGCAACCTGTTCAGTGCTTCACCACCCTCCCAGTAAAGAATTCCTTCCATTTGTAAACTTAGCCTCTTTTAGTTTGAAGTAATCTACTCCTGCCCTGTCCCACCATGATCACAGGATCCTGTCTACCTTTCTTATAGGGTTTTAGGTACTGGAAGGCCACAATTAATATCTCACCAGCTCTATCTGTCTTCATAGGAGGGACACTCCATCCCTCTTGGTGGTGTCCCCCCTGGACTCACTCCATCAGGTTCAGGTCTGTCCTGCGGGGGCCTCAGAGCTGATGCAGCCCTGCTGGTGGGGTCCCAGCTGAGCAGCGGGCCAGAATCCCCTCCCTGGGATTGCTGGTTATCCTGCTTTGGATGCACCCCAGGATCTCTCCCAGAAAATGAGTGAGACAGAGGAGAAATAAAAAGCAGTACTGAAATGTACCCAAAACATATCTTAATTTTTAAAATTTAAATATTTATTGGAAAATTGGATTTTGATTCTGTTTTTATGAGATGCTACTCTATTTTTTTTAGAATTTTTTGCATCACCTGTGGGATTTATATGGAACAGCATGAATAAGTTTGTGTCATAACATCAACCAATTTCTTTCTGAAAGACTCCAAGCACAAGCAGGTCTCACTAGGCTTTGCAAGACATAGCATGTTATGAGGGCACACATTTGAAGATATGTGTTTGGAAGAACCTAGTGGAAAACTCCTTATATAAATTTCATGATCATTAAATGGGGCATCTTAACAGATGTCTTTTTGCACTTGCTAGCATTAAGTCAAACCTTCCCTGAGGGCAACATTTGCTTTTCAACAAAACCCACTTTTGATTATCTTTGGGGTGACCTCCCCCCCTAAAAAAGCATGGCAATAGAGTAGTGGATGTATACATTGACATTTCTCATGAACTTTTAGGTTATTAGCATGTATAGTGTGGGAGATATTTGAAACAGACTTTTTCTGTTTCTAATTTCAGACAATGTTTTTCTACTCTGTAATGAAAACTCCTGGTCATAAGAGAGAATAATTAGTTACTAACTTTTCCCTTTAAATTAGCTAGAATGAGCATTAAATTATCTGCCTCCATTTTCAGTCAGCAGATATTTATAATGTGGGTCTTTAATAAAAATTGCGTATTAGTCATGTTTAGCTTTCTAGCTTTTTCCTAATTTTTGCTATTTGTTATCAGTCATAGTAATACATGCTGCCTGTCCTTTGATATGGACAACTGATGCCCTTTATGTAAGGAATTAAAGAAATGTAATTTATCCACAGAAAGTCTAATGTTCATATGTGCTTCCCAAAAAAACCTCAGAGATCGTGGCCTAACTTTGAAGCAGAATCCATCTCGTGCTTGTAAAGGATGCAGATGAAGCTATGAATACATTTTATGGATCAGATGGGATTTAGCCTGAAGGAAAGTATAGGATTTGTTAGAATGGCAAAGATATATGATGGATGTTTTTGAAAAATATTCCCTTGTTTAGAGGAATACATGTGTGTTTTGCTAAAAACATGGGTATGTAACTTGGAGGCATGAAGGCATTCCATCCCTTTTCGTAGAGCAGTTTCACTGTAGTTCAGGCTGCTGTCAGAAAGAGCCCTTGGGGATGAATGAGCAGAAAAACCCCAGTGATATTGTGAAAGGTAGAATGGCAACTGCTGATGTATATGTAGGCTAAATGAGTTGTTGTTTCCCTGGGGTTTGGAAGTTAGCTATTAATCCAGTTTGCTTTGACATTCAGTCTTTTTATAAATTAGTATATTATGTATCAGCTTTGGGGCAAAAATCTCAAGGGGGTCAGATAAAAGGTTCCGTTTGAAATGCTCTGGTTGAGCATTGATAGATCTACTTTTTAATGAAATAGATCTTAGAAAATAAAAAAGGAATAATCAACATTTTTTGAGTCTAATGCAAAAAATCATGTGTTCCATGCCTTGTATCATGCAGTTTGGTGGACTTATTGGAATGCATTTCTAAGCTAGGATATATTATACAGTGAGATGGGCATAATAAGAGCACCTAAATAATGACTTTACTTCCCTAAAGTGCAGTTAGACATGAATGAAAATGTCAGATATCTTTCACATGAAAGAAATTGAGCCCCAGCTGAGGTTTATTTTTGCCTCTGCTGCTCTAGCGTTACCAGATGGATAGTTTAATTTCTTAAGATCCACTCGGGGTACAGAAAATGTAATGGTCTTATGGCTTTCCATGATGTTGGGCTGTCAGTGATGAATTCTCTGACAAACTTACAGCTCCCAGAGGCATCATGTGTTTTTCCATCTTCTGCTTCTCCTCAGTGGCTGAGAAGACCAAAGAGCAGGTGTCCAATGTTGGGGGAGCTGTGGTGACAGGAGTGACGGCGGTGGCGCAGAAGACGGTGGAAGGAGCAGGGAACATCGCTGCAGCCACTGGCTTGGTGAAGAAGGACCAATTGGCCAAACAGGTTGGTTTATTTACAGTCTTTTCCAGGTGAAGTGAGCAGTGAGGGGCTCATGAGCTGAGAGGCAGATGGAATGCTTTCTGTCTCTTGGTTGTATGAATGCAGGATTAATTGTGTTGTGCCAAACAAACAGGAAAGATGTCTGTTGCTTATAGCTTGTGTTTTGAGTGAATTGCAGGATCTGGGAACTTGAGTAGGATTAGGCATGGAACTTCATTAATCTGAAGTGTTTTAGTTAATTTGGATCATGTTTTAAAGTGTGATCTAGTGGTAGTTCTGAACTAGGGGGCCTCTAGCGGAGACCAGCTGCTGTAGGATAGCTGTTTTGTTTTGTGGAAATATAACTGGTTTTCCCACTAATTTGGGATTGAAAAGCAAACTGCTAGTGCTGAAAGGTCAAACAGCAAATTTCAGGTTTAACAGCACAAGTTGTATCCTCTCTAGTTGTAAGAGAGGAGGGTTTGTGTACCAATCCACTGACTGGTTAGACACGTTGCATCTAAAGTAAGGACCTATCTGGAGAGTCACTGTCTTCCATTAATACAGTGACACTATCTCAAAAATGCCTCTAAATAGCCTCAATTATGCAGATCAACATTGCTCTAGGTCATCCTATAAAACACTGTAGGTATTTTTATTCATACACTGTAGTTAATATTCTTCCATTAACACTAGGTGAAAAGTGACCCCAGCCGGCAGGAACAATGCTTTCCAAAATGTGTGGAGTGGTTTTTTTAGGAGACAAAAATAACTCAGAAGTGACAAATGCCTCCTTCTGTGCTGTTTTCTGTATGAACATTTGAGAGTTAGACAAAAATAGGATTAGGAAGAGTATTTAATATTTACACAAAAATATGGCTGTCATGGAATTGAGCATGAAGTTCTATTGTGTATCTTATTTGCAGTTAGTATCCAGAGGAGCTGTAAAAATTGAATCCTTAAAAACTGGAGTATTTTTATCTGTGTTGAAGTATAGTCCTGTCTGTCTGACAAATCCTATTGATGCTTTACTATGGGGAGCAGAAAGGGCTATTACCTTGTGGTAGGTATTCATTTCACTGTGGTGGATTGTCTTGGAAACATCTCACAAGCAGTTTTATTTGCTTTCAAATCAATATTCCTGGAGGATTTTTTTAGTCCTCTTCTTTTTCAGCTATAAGTAACATGGTGCTTTTGATGTGGTCATGGATCTTTTAAGAGCTGTGTGGGAAGATTTGCAAAATGGAGAATCTAATGACCTGCCAGGGGATACATGAATATGGCATGGTCACAGTAGTCTCTGCGCTTAGTTTCTGCTAAAGCTCTTGTGTGGTTTTATGCTGAGCATATTCTTTTCTGTTCACAGCTCTTGAAACTCAGTGTAATAAGGATCATCACTGCTGTAATGCACAATTACCCCCTTTAGTATTGACCATAACTAATGCCTTTTTATCTCTCTCTATAGGGAGAGATCCCTGTAATTATAAAGTATAAAGCAAATGTCTGCTGACTTTCATTTAAATCTGTTCTCTGTATTGTAAAGATTAAATATAAGTCACGATGGCTGTGACAGAATAAAATCACATCTGTGGAATGAAAGAACATCCATAATGTACATGCATATTATTTCTATTAATAGCAACATTATTCTGAACTGGTGTCTTCTGTAGATATGCAAAATCATTCATTTGAGGCTTGATAAAGATATTTTTAGACTGAGATTCTCAGTCATCTGTGCAGTATGGCCATGTAGCTGATGAGTATCTGAGGCTCCTCCTGGACTGCCTTGCACATCTGTCTTTTACTGGTTCTGCGAGGGATGAGTAGCCATTTCAAAAAGGTTAATATCAACACTGATATGCCATTATTTTAAAACCCGGTGGGTTTGCATTCTTTTGCAGCTGAGGCACATGAGATAGATTTTGCTTGGATTTTCTAGGTAAACTGACAGTTTGGTAGGGCAGGTGTGGGCATCCAGAGTAGCAGTGGGACATTGAAGGAAGCAGGGTGAGTCTTTCTGAGAAAACAGAAGGTGCCAACCAGGCATTCAAAGTATCAATGTAACTTTGTGCCATTTGTCTCTCCCTGTAAGGTTACGTGTGTTAAGGCTGCTTGCCTGTGTGACAGCCTGCAGTCTTGTGTGGTAACTGGCATTTTTCTTGCACCGTGATGGAAGTTTGGTTTTGACTTTCAACTCATTAAAAACACTATTTTTTTAAAACCTGTGGGTACAATTATGCAGAGGAAATAAGTAACAAATTCTTGGTAAAATTCTTTCTTGACAAGTTTCTCCAAGCTGGCCTAGTGCATCCTTAAAAGCTGGTGTGCTTTGGAGCATGAAGCACAAGCTGAAGCAGCCAAGTGAGGCCAGGCTGGAGGGGTGCTGTGACACCCCACTGCCACCCACCTGCCCGGCAGCTGGTGGAGTGACAGCTGAGACAGTGACAGACAGGGATGACTTGAGAGTGCCCATCTGAGGCTGCCTGGGTGATTTCTGCTCTGGCAGAAGCTTACTGCTAAACACAGACAGGGTAGTGGTGGTTAGTAGGCTCAAATTAATTACAAAAGGGCTGATGTACTGCAAGCAGTATTTCACTGAATGACAAAACATTCACTGTCTGCCTCCGTGTGTTTTATTTCTGTGTGTAGTGTATTTTCTAAATTAGTTTTTAAAAACTAAAAATTATTGGTAGTTGCCTTTAATGCAGAGATGAACATGAATGTTCTATTTGCAAGTCAGCCTGAATGTACAGATACAAATTGAGGGTGGTGGGGGAGTACCAGCAAGCAAGTATCTAGTATATAATATTTTGAAAACAAACTATGGAGTAAAACACTTGTTTTCAGATAGTTAATTAACAAATTGAAGTTCTTAACCTCACTGAATCCATGTCATTTGGTTCCCTGGCATCTCAAGAATAAACAGTTGCCAACTTCTATGTTTTCCATGCTGAGTAATTTTATTTTTACTGTTCTAGCACCAAAATTCCCAGTCAAGCTGAAATGTCAAGCTTCTTTGAGTACCCTATGATGCTGTAGTCATATGGATTTCATGTGCTGGAAATTGAAACGTAAATAGAACAGGTCTTGTCCCTAAGATTTTTTGGTTCTGTATGGATCATGTTTGGTATCTCTATGTGCTAAATCCTTTTTTTTAAATAATGTCTTTTAATTTAACACATTTGTAGTAAATAGCACTGAAAATACAAAACTGCAGTAGCAGGTAACAAGTAGGTAGGAAATAGACTTCCTGAGCAGGCAATGCAACTCTTTGGTTTAATTGTGAAGCTTTCAGTGAAAAAGTCTGTGTCAAGACTGACAATTTAGGCTTTCGGTCTTTTCTTCCATAGAAAATAGGAATTAAGCAGGAGCCCTTGCTAATTGTATTTAATGTGAAAATAGAGAGTAAAAGCAGTGGCAAGTTAGCTGTATTTCCCCTCCCACCCCCTGCATTTCCTGGCACTCCTTAGAAAACAGTGTCATGACATAAACATTCAGTGCAGTGGAACCTGCAGATGCTGAGTATTTATTGTCTTACTACTTTTTTTTTCTAGAACAGCTAATCTTGTGAACCACCAAAATTTTCCACAGACATTATACCTTGTTCAGAGCCAGGGTGAAGGATTCCAATTTGGGGAATCGCCATAATCAAATATAAAAATTTGTAGAAGCCTTTTTGATCCTTCTTACAGGGAAGCTCCGTAAGACATGGTGCATTGCTGAGACTAGAGACATGATGAAATACTTTTGAATATTGGTGAGAGCAACTTGGTTTTGATTAAGACACCAAACATCACAGTGTACTCCAGGCATCTCTTACTTGATCATTTGGGAACCTTACTAGTAGAAGGAATGCGAACCCTGTGAGTGTCTCTGAGAATTTGCCTTTCAGTGGTGGAAGGAAGGATACTTTTCTGCTTTATTAAGCATCAATTTCTTAAATGTAAGTGATACTACTTCTTTCAAAGATATCTGATTTGTCTTGTTGCAAACTGAGATTACTGTGTGTTCCCAAAGAAGTTTTGATTACCATCTGTACTTCATGAAACAAAAAGAGCTGAATATGAAATCTTGAGATTTTGGACTTTACACTTTGATTTTAGAAACAGAGATCAGTTTAGAAACCCTTCTGTAGCAATCTTAGGCAGAATTTACTTAGGGATGACATTTGACTTCTATTAAAGGTATCTTGGATATTAGTTTCCAAAGTTTGAATACCAACATTCAAGTCCCCAACACTTGTGCAAGGTAACAGTCGTTACCTGCATACAATAAAAATGCCTAGCTTGGTAATTGAAAAGCTTCAACAGGCATTTTCTTGTTTTGTCTCTTTTTGTCTTTTTGAGATCTATTTCGTGTATTTTCTTTGCTACAGTGCCATGATACTGACATGCCACATGGAAAATTCCTGAAACTTTAAAAATTAATTTTAATATACTTTTTTGTTGTAAATAGGAGTCTAGAAGTAGGTATAATCATTGCAGAATTTGGGTGTGGGTGGAACCATGTGTTTTGATAGATATGAAGATCTCCAGGTTCTATGACCTCCTTAATGTTCAGTATACTGTACAGGATGCTTGGCTTACTGAAGGATCACCATTCCCCATCTTTCCAGTCTGTAGGTTAGTCAATTAATTTCAAAAAGCCTGGCTAGAAACACAGAGGAAAAGCTGTGGAGCAAAGACGTCCAATTTCCTTTTTCAGAAAGAGAATTGGAGAGTTTTTTCACCTTTGCATTCCACTTTTTGCTATTTGCCAGATGTGTCCCAAAAGGCTAACAGACCCCACTGAAAAGCAGAATGGTAAGTGCAAGTTGCATAAGACTGAAACTCAAGAGACTGTTGTTCTTTAGTTGGAGCAAGCAGCTCTCCCAGAGCATTTAGTCTGAGCAAAACACCAAGCCTTGATTTAAGTGAGGAAACTTTAGTAAAGTTTTGACATGCCAAATGCAGAAATAGCCTCCACCAATTAACTTCTGGAGTGAAAAATTTTCTGTAGGGACTGTAGAGCAGGCAGGCTTTCTG